TCCCCACCACACTCATTCCTTACCTCCTGTGGCCTCTGGAAAGCCCTGAGGTGCTCTCCAGCCAGCAGGGTGACCTTGGGGACAAGACAAGCGCTCAGAGATCTGCCTTTTTCTGCCACAGCAGATGAAGCCCTTGTGCCATGGGGCCAAGGAAGCCCCAGGGGAAAGGCTGCATTGCCTCAGGACCACCAGCTTGAGATCCTGCCTGGGGTCCCCCCGGGTCACGGTGGGGCAGGGGCAGGGGGTAGGGACTGGATGAGCTATTTGTGATGGATAGTGTTGCCTGGCTGTTCCAGCTGACTCATGTCAGGACCCGGCTGGCTTCCCAAAGGCATGAAGCCTCCCCCAGAGGGGTGGTACTGCAGACAGGGCAGGCGGCTGCAGGACATGGGTTATAAAGTTACACCAAAGAAAGAGCAGCTCCAGGCGGGATGCTCCTCTCCCTGGCCATGTGCCATCTGCCTGCCCAGCCTCAGCTCAGCCTCTGGGGATGCTCCAGCTCCATTCCTCATGCAGAAGCCTGGATGCAGCCCAGGGATAGCGGGGCCTGGTTGCCAGGATGTGCTCTAATAGTGGGGTCTGAGTCTGGGAATGTGATCTGCTAGGGGGGTTTGGCTGCAGGAACGTGCTCCAACAGCTGAGCTAAGCTACAGGCAGTGGGGCCAGACCCCTGGGCAAGTGTCAGCAAGCCAGTGGCACTAACGGCATTGCTGTCCTACCCAGGCTTGCCTTGTGGGCTAAATCTTAAACCAGATCAAGGGTTTAACTTTATCAGTGGCTGGGAAAACGTGGCACCATTTCCCCGGGGCAAAGTATCTTGATCCCTGCAAAAATCCCAGACTGCTCTCACTCAGCAGCTCCATGGCACTCGTGTCTGCCCCTTTGGCACAGGGACTCGCAGGATACTCTGGAGCAGGGAGCATCCTGTGTCCCATGCCCAACCTGGGCTCCCAGCTGGTCTTCCCTCCAAAATCACAGCTTGCACAGACCCAGGAGCACCAGCAGTAGGAGATGGCACTTCCCCTTGCGGGGTGTACCTGGGTATGGATTGCCCTCCCAGCAGGCAGTGCAGGAGGAAAGCCACCACCGGAGCTGAGACTTCTGTGTCCCCTCAGGGGAGCCCCTCCACTGGCACCACAATCTCCCCACCAGCCCCGCCAGCTCCCCAGCTCTGGAAAACCTCCCACAACCCCTGCACAGAGCAGGATGATTGATTATTGTTATTAGAGCTGGAGAACAGTTTCTGTGCACATCCAGGTGGTTCAGCAGCAATTAGTCACCCACCGGTGAGGGGGAACCAGGCTGACCCTCTGTCCCTGCCAAGGTGGGAGCTCTCTGCTGCCTGAGCGAGGGTCTGAGGCGGCCCCTGGCACAGCAGGATGGAGCCCTATCTCCGAATGGAGCCCTGTCTCCTCAAGGGCTGTATCTGATGGGCAAGGGCAGGGCTTTGGCAGCGGTACAGCCCCAGGGCAGGGCTCGAACCTGAGCTGATCCCAGCACCCCGAGGGCATCTGATAGGGGTAAGGAAGTGGGAGGGCAGCCCCCAGTCCCACGGCAGAGATCTGCCCCCATCCAGGGTGATGCAGCAGCAGCAGCTTGTGCTTTTACATGGGGCAGGCACAGCAGAGGGGCTGAGAGGGAGGGGAGGGACTACGGGCAGCCCCTGGCACAGCCGTCCCGCGGGGCTGTGCCAGGCACAGCTCCAGCCCGGGGCTCATCTGGCAGCGCAGCGACAGCAGGACATCGGCACAGCCGGCTGCGGGCTGGGAAGGGGGGGCCGTAATGACGGTCCATCTCAGCAAAGGTAGCAGAGCATGAAAGCAATTTCACACTTTATTAGACAATTCAGGTGCCAGCTGCACCAGCCTGGAGCGAGCACTGCTGCTCACACCTCCACTCCTGCTTTGCAGCCCCAGGGCCACTCTCTGTGGGGCTCAGCCCTCCCTCAGGCCATGCTGGTCATGGTTGGTGCACGAGGGGCCAGTGGGGGCTGATGGGGGCCAGGGCTGCTCCTTATGGGCCTGGCAACAGTGCAGCATAGGCTAGCTCTGCTCAGAGCCAGCTCAGCCTCACAGAGAGGGTGAACTCAAGCTCCATGCCCACAGTCACAGCCCCGCTTGGGCTGGCTGTGCCCTTCAGCCCAGGGCAACCGCCCTGCTCCTTCTGGGTCCCCTCTCTCCTTTCCTTCCCCACCCTCCATTGCTCTGTTGTTCCCCTACTCCTATTCTGCACTTCTGTGGTGAAGGGATGGTCTGGGTTTGGGAGCCTGGGCTTGGGGCTTCCCTGGCAGCTGCTTTCCTCTTGCCCCCCTCTGCTTCCTGGGTGCCCCAGCAGAGCCATCGGGCACATCGACACCTGGGCACAGCCATCCTCCTGCAATCCAGGTGTCTTCACCTGGAGATGTGCTTTGTGGCCCTCTACCCTGTGTCCCCAGGGCCCAGCACGCCCCACAGAGCAGGAGAGAGCAGAGTCTGAGCTGCCACCGTGCTGGCGCCCCATGCCCTGGGGACATGGCCGTGCACTGTCACACCCCACAGGTGGACGCTGTCCAAATGCCTTCACGTCCAGGATATGAATCAGCCCGGACAGGAGTGCAACAGCCGCTCCTGGATAACCGGAGTCGCCCCAGAGGCTGCTCTGGCAGCCAGGCTGTGTCGGTGCCAAATTCCTTGCAGGCTGGCAGGCAGGTTGCAGGCAGCAGTGCCTGCCTGGCTCTGCTGCCACCTCACAGATCAGCCCCTGGGCATGGCAAAACACTGGCCTGTCATGTGTTTCCCTCCCCCTTGCATGGCTCTGCCTCCGTGGTGCCAAGCCACGGCGCCGTGGTGCCCAGTCAGGGCAATGCCTGACCTTGACCTGACCTCCTGAGCAGCCATCCCTGCCCAGCTGTCACCCCATGCCCCTGGCCACAGGCATGTTCCACCGGACCAGCCAGAGCATTCCTCCTGGGAGAGCCTGTCCTTGACGGGCTATTTAAAGGCACGCTTGTGCCCTTTATCCCCCGTCATGTTTAGGCTGGAAGAGCCCTGTACCCACCAGGGACTCCAAGAGGGCACTTCCAGACTCAGGGCAGCAGCAGTGCAGTGAGTTTGGGTGAAATCATGAGAGAAGTGAGGGATGTTGGCACCTGCATCCTGCAGTCAAGTACTAGGCCATGTCCTGAGGACATGGTGAAGGTCCCATGGGCATCCAGGCTGGCAGCAGGGCTGGTGGCAACTGCAGAGCCCAGCTCACCCCTTTGGATCCAAAGACCAGAGGAGCCCCATGAGCTGATTCCCTCTTCCTAGCTGGGACCATCTGCCACCAGGACCTTGGGGTGGGCAGGACACCAGTCCCACTGCTGCTGGGCAGGGTGCTGGTGCTGGCTGGCTCAGGACCCTCTTGGTGCTTGGGCTGCACCTCGCTTGGAGCACAACTGCCTTATCTGACAAGGGACAGAGGACAGGCAGCTGCTGCCTGACACAAGCAGCATGTCCCCAGTGCAGTGTCGCCTGCAGAGCACTGGAGGGTGGCTCCTGTACATCTGCTTGTGGGATGTGCAGGGACTGTTTCCACCTTGCCCTGCAAGCCTGTCAGCCTGGCAAGTGCTAGTAGATGGGCTTGGGTAGGCAGATAGAGTGAGGACCCAAGAGAGGCAGCAGGGATTTGGGACACCTCACTACGTCCTGCATGTGGGTGAGCTCGGGGCTTCCAATGGCTCCTGAGCAGAGGCAGCTGCCCCCCAGATAACCCCAGGACCCTGCAGAGAGTGAACCCCACAGAGTTCTGCCTCAAACCAGGCACATGGACCCACATGTGGGGTGCACACAACAGTGTCTGGGGCCTGTCCTCACCTGCCTGGCATCCACCCCATCCCTCCCCACATGGCACAAGGCTTGGGTGAGGACATACCACCTCTGCCCCCCTGCCCAGCCCGCAGCGTGGGAACCCGCATGCAGTCCCCACATCCCCCGGGGAGCCCGTGGGTGGCCGGGCGTGCTGCCTGTCCGTCGGCAGGGCACGGGGCCCGGCGTGCCGGCGCTCGCCAGCCGGGACACCGCACCTTTGATGCGGATGCCCAGGGCAGCCGGGACGACGCCAGGCTGCCGCACCGGCGGGTGCCTGCACTGCCCACGGTGGGCGAGGGGTGGTCAGCGTGGTCCCATGGTCTGAGCTCTCCCGCGGTGCCCTGGGGGCTCTGACACCATGGCAGTGCTGCCGTGGGCACGGCTGCCAACCCGCAGCCCCATCAGCATCTCCAAACAGTGTCAGCACGACGGCAGAGAAGCTGAGGCACGGAGCTGGGGAGCCTCAGGAGTGGTGGCAGGGGAAGGAGGGAGTGTGGTCTCCATCCTCAGACCGAGCCTTAGGTCAGGGACTGACTGGCACTTACTGATTCTCCCAAAAACCTCTTCCACGGGACCTCCGTCAACCGCCGGGTCGTAGGGGGATGGGGCGCTCAGGGAGCCTTGGGAGCCGGGATCTCCGTCCCATACCGGGCTGTGCCCCCGCACCCCACGGCCCCCGCACCAGTGCTCCCAGTACGCGCCAAGCGGGCACTGGGCGCTGGTTCGGGGCTCCCTCTGGTGGCCGCTCCGGGCGGGGCCAGCGCTGCCGCGGGCACTCAGGTGCCCAAGTGCCCCGGTGCTCAAGTGCCCGAGTGCCCCGGTGTCCAGTTGCCCAGGTGTCCAGCTGTGCAGATGCCCAGATGCCCAAGTGCTCAGTGCCCAGGTGCCCCATGCCCGGCTTAGGGCCTCTCTGCAGCACTGCACCTTTGCAACTCAGTCCTGATCTAACCAGGGACGATGCTGCCTCATCATCCCCTGGGGCACATTTGTCACTGACAAAGAATTCAGCAAATCCCTGGATAACTGCAGCCACCTGCCCTCACTCCCTCAGTGCTGCTTTGCGTTGTGCAAACACACACACGGGGCACCCTCACGCCTCCTGCCACCACTCCTGCACCCTCACGCCTCCCACCACCACTCCTCCACGCCATCCTCGCACCCCTGTCCCCCGGGCCATATTCTGCCCACCCTTCCCAGACTGGGGCTGCCTCCCTCCAGCATCTCCCGTGAGGAGTCCTCCGGTACCAAGCCGACTGCTCCCATCTGATGAAGCCCGTGCCCTTGGGTGTGGGCTGGCCATGCTCACACGGGCAAGCTCCAGCCCATGGGCTCCTGCACGGGGACGGTCACCAGGTAGCTGGAGGGCACATAGCCCCTCTGGCCGTTCACCTCCACCAGGCTCCATTCCTTGCTCCCCTTCTTGTCGTGTGGCTCCAGCACCACCACGGGCTGCCCTGCCTGGAGATTCACCTCCTGCGGACTCCTGGCTGCGAAGGAGAAGCCGGCGACCACCTGTGAAAGGCAGGGAAGGAGGGAGGAAGCCATTGCTGGACATGAGAGTCAAAAGGAGATGGACACACATGGCAGGGCAGGCCATTCTGAGAGGGCAGCGCTGCAGTGACACGCATGGAGGGACACTGGGGACCCACCAAGCACAGTTGTCTTGCTCTGTTCCCCCTGGTGCCAGCAAGGAGGACATCAGCTTCATGTGACACTCACACGGGGGTGTGACACTCCCTGCTGGGCACGTGGCTGCACATGTGTGACCATGTGTGTGCTGGAAAAGCAGGTCCACCTTCCCACCCACACAAGAACTAGCATGGAGCTGGTGGTGTTGCTAGGAATGGCCCTGGGGGTGTCCCCCACTCTCACCTGGAATGTTGGGGTGAAGGTGGCCACCTGGGGCTTGGGAGCTTCAGGTAATGCATAGGAATGTCTCCTTCTCTCTGTGCCACTCTCCGGGGTTAGCAAATCCATCCCGCGTTGCTGGCTTTGTACCGGGGAATACGGCTGGAGTTTTGCAGCAGGCACAAACCCTCGGGGACCTGGAGGACATGGACACACACAGGTCATGGGGCCCCACTACCTGACACATGTAGGACTGGTCAGAGGAGAGAGGAATGACACTTTGGTTGTTGCTTGGCTTGGCACAGTGGCCCTGCTCAAACTAGTCCATCACTAGGGAATATCCAGCAGAAACCCCCTCCCACAAAAGAGGAATTCCATGTGTTTCTGTGTGCATGGATTCTCCTTTCTCAGCCACAACACTTCATGAGTGTTCCCTCGGGGAATGAATCGGGACGCCTGAACCTCACAGCTAATGGCAACGGGTGTAGCTGGTAAAGCTGAGGTGGGTTTGGGCTGAACAAAGCCTGGAAGGGAGGACCCAGGAGGCCATGGCCTGCTGTTTCATTCAGGATGAGGAAGTGGTGTGGGTTTGGTTCCTGACCCCGGTGCCAAGGCAGGGGGAGGCTGCCCATCGTGCTCACGGTACCTCCAGCATCCACCAGCCATCTGCTCGTGTTCCCCTTCGTGTCGGCACTTTGCAGAAGAGCTACAATCTGTCCCCTCAGCAAGGTCAGGTCCAAGTCTTTGCTGCCACTGATGTTGCTTGTCACTTGGTAAAGTTTGTCTGGGCCGTGCTTGCTCACAAGGGAGAGGACCTTTCGCTCCTCAGCAGGGTTCAGAGGCTGGCGGGGAGCAGGAGACATGGGAGCACTTGATGAAACACACAGGAGACTGAGGCCCTCCGTGTACACATGCCCTCCCTTCTGCAGGATCACATCCCAGTGAGAGGTTAGAGGACCCCTAGCCTCCTTCACACTATCTGCTCTACCCCATGGTTTGGAGATGAGTGCCCAGAACCAGAATTGCTGAGCTGCTTCATCCCTGGTTATTTCCAGCCAGCTGCTGTCAGCGGGAAATACTGTGGCCATGGCAACCGTCTGGGTCACTTTCTCAGCCAGCCTCCCTGCCGAGGGGATGTCCTGCACTGGGGGGTCAGAGTTCTATCTCTTTATCCAGCTGGCCTGAGACATCCCCTTCCCAACCCCTACCTGTGTCACAGGGCTCGGCATGACGGTCTCAAAGGTCTGGCAGAAGGTCCGGATCTGAGCACCTGACTGCTGCAAGGTGTCTTCCACCACCTTCCAGAAACTGGGCAGAGGCATGTGGCCATGGGGCATCTGTGGAGACAAACTCTGAGATCAGAGAGGGCCCTGGGGAGAGGAAGAGCTGTGGGTAGGGTCAGAAGAGAAGGAGCAAGAAGAAAAGGGTTGAGAAAGCAAGAGAACAGACCTGGCTAATAAAGATGCACCTCTCTGACTGTGAGCCACTTTCTCTGGGCAGGACCATCACACATGGGGCTCTTGGGTTGTATTCAGCCAACCAGAGCAGTCCCTCACTCCTGTTGTCCAGCCCTGAGCTCACAGCCTGTCCCAAATGACTATAAAGGGAGACAGGTAGGTGTAGCTCCAGGGTAGACGTCTGCAGCATAAGCAGCCCAGACTCAGCAAGGGTAACCCACTCTCCTGACTAGGTATGAGCAGTGCCAGAGAGGACACCTGCACCTGGCTGCACCTTGTTCTCATCCTGATCATGGATCAGTCCAGAGCCATGCTCTGCCCCAGGGCTTTCCACTGCCCTGACCCTCCATGTTTGCATCAGGCTCAAGAGTACCACAGGGAGGAGTTCTGGGAGACATCTCCCAGGTGATGGGTGTTGAGGGATCCTTGTTCCTCAAGCCAGAAGCTGCCTTTCTCCTCCTTGCCTTCCTAGCACAGAGCTCTCAGGAGCTCAGAGTTAACACTGATCTCTCAGGCAGCAGCACACCAATAAATTACCAGTAGTGTCCGCAAAGAGAAAGCAACAGTTTCTGGCAGTGCAGAAGAGAAAATTTGGCTTTCCCCAGGCAGGGAGGAGGAGAGATTGCTTACAAATCCTGTCTGCAAGGGTGGGCTTGGGCCACAGCAAACCTTCAGAGCCTGGATGTCTAAGATGTCTCAAGCCTGCAGAAGATCTGGCTCAGCTCATGTGCCTGTTTGGGCACACACGCCGACGGGTCATACTCACCTGCTCCAGCTCCTTGTCTGCCCGTTGCAGGACCTGGGCAGCCAAGTCCCGCTGCAGGGCACTGAAGGAGCACAGGATCTGCCTCAGGAGCTGCACAGCCACCTGGTTGAACTGCGGGAGCTCTGCCATGAGCAGGTCATTGATGGCGAGGTAGGTGTTCATGGCTGCCTCCTCGTCATATGTCACGCTGCCCATCTCGCTCTTCCGCTCCTGGATCTCCTCGTAGTCCAGCAGCTTGTCCAGGCGCTTCTTGACCAGCTGCTGTGGCCCCACCAGCATGTCTGAGAGGCTGCTGAGGGGCTGGCAGACCAGCCTGTCCAGCCGTCGCTTCTGTGAGGTGAGAGAACCCAAACCCCAAAGTGAGCTCCCCAAACGGGACCAGCTGCCTGCACGGGGCACTGTCTTATGGGGCGTAAAAGGCTTGGGGACCTGTTGAGGGGCTTTGTGTGGAGTGGGAAGCATCTGAGGCATCTTTTCCTGAAGGCACATAGGATGCCAAGCAAAGCAAACCCTTGGTAGAGAGCAGTCATGCCTGCCACAATTCCTAACTTGTGCTCCATGCAAATGACCAGGTAGGAGCCCTTAATGGCCGGGACCAGTTTTACCTGGGCCTCCCTCCACACTCCTGCCCATAGCCCATTTAAGGGCCCTCTGCCCCTGCCTGTTACTGTGGGTGTGCTGGTTTCTGTGTCCTTGGATCTCTGCTATAGGTAGGCCAGCTCCTGGATGCACCCATCAGAGAGACAGTGCAGCTTGTCTCCAGTCCTGGATGGGCTCTGGAGCTGTGTTGTAGTTGTGACTCTGTCCAGGCCCTCCCTTCTCTTCTGGATAGACCCTGAAGCTGGTTCCTCACTTCATGTGTCTGGGACTGCTGGTGGATCCTGTTACTTGCTCCTGGCTCTGCTGCAAATTTGAGGCCTCAGGGGACTGTGAGGACACTGCTCTGGGGTCCCCCTCAGCTCCTGGCTGCCCTGCCTTGTGTGAGCAGCCAGCCCCCACTGTGCCCTGGCAGAAGGTGGGGAGAGCAATGCTTGGCTGAAGGAGATGTGCAGGCAAGGAGCACTCACAAACTCTGGGAAGACAGTGTACTGGAGGCATTCTGCGAAGTGCCGATACTGCTGGGCAGGTCCTTCATCCATCTGCAGGTCACGCTGGTGTGGGGTGGGCAACAGGAATGCCTGAAAGGGAGAAAGCATCAGACTCCCTTACCTCCTGCCCAATCCTATATGGGGAGCCCTTCTCAATATTTTTATGACAAGGTCTTTCCAGCCCATGAACTGCTGCTTTCTGAACCCTCTGCCATTTCCTGAGGCTTTCCTGATAATACTGTCTGGGGATTGCATGTTTTGCCATCGCTCATACTTTCATTTCCCTCAGATGCCCCAAGGAATTTCTATGAGAAAATCACAGTAGCTGCTGACCCAGGTGATTTCAGAAGGGAAATTTGTTGTCAGGACTGATATGGGGACATTTCTGCCTTACATCCGTTATTAAAGCAAGAATCCCCAGGCTGAACAACACTTGGCCTTTTCAGTCATTTAAGACCTTGAAATAATGATAAGTTTAAGGACAGATTATTCTCAAATGGCATCAGCTCAGACTGTGTTGTCAAAGCCTCAGCTTTGGTTTAAGCTCCCCTGGACCTGAGCAATCCTTGGATGTTGTGCAACTCCCCGACACAACAGGACACTTTAGCTGAGCTGCAAATCCCTGAACATCCCCAGCAGCTATTGCTTTCCTAAGTGTTCTACAATCCCAACAAACAGGTCCTGAAGCCTGAACAGGGCCAACTCCTTGCCAGTGGTCAAGGTTTTACCTCTAAATGGCCCAGGTAGGATGCTACGTTCTCCTTCAGGGTGGCCACACTGGACACCACACACTGGAATTTCTCTTCCAGGTCATCATACTCCTTATCCTCTGTCTGCAAGGCAAGAGGCAGCTTATTACCAGCCAGGTTCCCATTGCAGGGGGCTAACACAGAAGCCAGGCACTTGCCTGAAGCTGACAGGGCTGGGGACAGGCAGGGGAGACTCTGAGGGGCTCCAGAAATCTGGAGAGGGGACAAGACATGGGTTGCTTGGGGTGCAAGCAGCAACAAGGCTTTTGGTGTGGTCGTGGTGCTGGGGGACACAGGGTGTCTTTGCTTTTGTTAGGATGCTCAAGGATCCTGTAGGTCCTTTGGGGCCAAAGTTCTGCCCTGCAATGTTCCGAGGAAGGGAGCGAGGTGTGTCCCTGCATCCCTCCTGCCCTGCTGGTCCTTGGGATGGAGGACCAGGAGGCATCCTTAGGCTGCTCCACAATGGGACTGTGGCTCCTGTGTCAGCATCAGCCACCCCACCCTGGCCCCACACTCCCCATTCCTTGGGGGAGGCACCTCGGGAGCAGCAGAAAGCCCCAGAATTGACCTGAGGAGAGGCAGCAGGTCCCTGGGTGCAGGCAGAGGGGTGTGGGCTGCCCACCTTGGCCACGATGCCGGCCTCGTGCATGAGGAGCCGGCTCAGCCGCGTGGTTTTCTTGGCGATGGAGTGGGTGTTGAGGCGCGCCAGGCGATCCCGCAGCGTCAGGTGCTCGGCCTTGTTGTATTTGGTTGCTGCCTCGGGTGGGGGCGACACAAAGTGGGGGGGGAAAAGATCAGAAGAGGAGACTTCATGGCAACATCCTCAGCAGCCTGAGCAGGCAACAAGGGTGAACAGCACAGGGGCTGGGGCTGATCAACAGGATAAGCACAACCCACATCAAAGAAGGAAAGTACTAGGGAAACCAGAAAGAAGCCAAGCTCCCATCTGTGGAGAGCCTGATTTCTCCTGTCTCAAGGGCAGGAGTGTTCTTTTCAGTTCCCCAGACCCAGGAATGCAGACAGACTGGTTTTATCCTCAGCCCCCCTGCCCATGCCACTCTGCTCCTGCAGCCTTCAGGTCTTGCCCAGAGTGGCATTTACAGGACCAGAGCAGTTCCAGGAGCTGCCTGCACAGAGTGTGTGGCTCCACCAGGCAGGATGGGTGGAGAGCAGGAGAGCTTTGAACTGATTTAAGTGGTAATTAGCGCAACACCAAGGGGAGACAACTGGGGTTGGGCTGAGGGTTCCCAGGGGCTGTGCCCCCTGCCTGCACTGAGCCCCCCGACCGCTCACCTACTTCCCTGCGCCGTTTGTACTCGTTGATGTTGGCATTGACCTGGGCCATGGCACGAGCAGCTGCCTGCAGGGCTGAGTGGGCACTGGAACTGGCTGGGGTGTTCTTCAGGATCTTCTCCAGCAGCAGTGGGTACTTGGTGACTCTCTGCACCGGCATCACCAGGAAGAAGCTGAGGTCTGATGCGCCTGTGTGAGGCCTGATGGAGAGGGGAATTGCTCAAGGCTGGTGTGGAGAGCTGCCTTCCTGCCCCGCTGCTCCTGCCAGCTTCTCTGCAAGTGTTTTGGGGAGACAGCAGCCCAAAAGTCATAGGAGATTTCTGGTTGTGAACCCTTGCTCCTTTCCAGCTGCGGGGCCACTGCTGTCCCCGTCAGCCCCGAGGGCAGTGCCAGCCCCACATGGGCACCCTGCCTCCCTGAACAGTGCTGTGCTTGTCTAGCTATGAGACACAGGATCTGTGCTCGCTCTGTGAGCAACAGGGAGGGAGAGAGTGAGCAAAGTGCAGGCAAGACTCCCCTTTGACCCAAAGGCAAGGCATATCTCATTCAGGAATCACATCACCCATGCTCTAAGCAGCAAATCCCAGGAGCTTCTCCACTGCCACTCCTGCATCTCCTGGCTCTAACAGTGTTTGTGACCCACCTGATAGTTCAGGACGGGTTTGGAAGGTCCTACAGGGGCAGCCTGTCTCTCTGGTCAAGTTGGGGAACAGTGGGGGAGGCAGCAGCTGCCCATGACACCCATCCTTTATTTTGGGGTCCACCATAAAAAATCACCAACTGTAGTGGCCCTTTGGCAAGTGGCCCCAAGGATCCAGGACGGGTTGCCAGGGATTACACCAGGAAATGCCACAAAGGCAGTGGCCATGATATTACACCCAGACTGGGGACACATATCCATACAGGTAGCTTGTCCAGAGAGTTGAAGGGCAAAGCCAGTAGGTAAAACAGGGAGAGGAAGGTGGTGGCCTCAGCAGCAGGTACCTACACTGTGGCATTCAGAGTCTCCAAGATCTCCTCCTGCAGCCTGGGGTCCTTGCGGTAGCTCTCCACCAGCTGGAGGGCATGGTCGTAGCTGGCACAGTAGATCTTGTAGACAGTCTCCATCTCTTCCTTGAACTCATGGAACAGGGTGCCTGGGGAAGGAGAGTGAGGCTGGAAAGTTTGGTCCTTTCCTATGGCCTCAGAGAAAACCCCTCAGAGAGTGGGGGGTTTTCCCCAGCCTGCTGGAAGGGTGAAGCCAGCAAAGCAGTGCCAGCCGAGGGTGACAGAGCAGTGCTCTGCAGCCAGGCACCTCTGTCTAGCTGGGCCTGATGATCTTCCCCCTCCACTGTTTGCAGGCTGGGCAGGTCTGCCTTGACTCTGTGGGGCAGGCTCCCTGCGGACACCGATGTGCTGGCAGCAGCACTTCCCAGAGCCAGGGGAGGTGCAGGAGGTGTCAGGGCAGGTGGGATGGGGATGGAATCTACACATGCCCAGCGCTGGGCAGTGGCACTTCCAGCACCAGCAAAGGCATGGGTGGGCACAGGTCAGCTATTGGCAGTGCACCACTTACTGATGCAGAGCAGCTGCTCCTGCCCCTGGGTGGCCGTGGCCTCAAGACCCTTCAGAAACCGTCTGGAGACATGGAGGATGTCGTCGGTGTTAGAGAAGAGCCCTTCCAGGTCCAGATCAGGCAGCTGAAGGGAACAAAGATGCCCCAGGCTAAGCCAAATATGTCAGAGATGGGCTGTGTGTTCCAGAGGCACTCACGCCCCCCTGAGCACTCATCTGCCCCGTGTGACACCCCAGGACCTGGAGCAATGCTCTGTTTCAGGAGGTTTTGGGAATGCTGAGACCTGTCTGTGCTCCAAAGTGGGGCAGTGAGGTCTTTTCACATTACAGACACAGGGTTACAGTTGTAGGATATCTGTACTTGGTCAGACCAAATGCCCATCCAACCCCATACCTTGCCTGGTCAGGGGGAGCCCAGCAGGAAGGTGGAAGGTGAGCACATGGTAACCTCCCTGCAGGGATTTGGGCATCTTGCCGCTCTCAACAGATTCACCCCACAGTGCCCAGCCCCTGGGCAGGGGGATGTACCCCACGTCACCTGCTTCTTCTGGAGGTGTGCCCGGATGTCCGACACACAGAGCTGGATGTTGTGGACATAGCTGGCCTCGGTAGTGATGAGCTCCTCTACAGCCAGCCGCTGGCTCAGCTCCATCCTGTCACAGGGCAGCACCTCCTCGTAGATGGCCTCTTCAGCCTCCTCTGCATCCTCAGCATCAGGCTCCGCCCCACTGGCACTCGCCATCTCGGCAGGGCACTCTGCAGGGGTGGCAGGAGGTAGGAACAGGCTGTGGCAAGGGCAGGCTGGTGCTCTGGTGCACAACCCAGAGCAGTGGCCGTGCTCCCTCCCCTGTGCCAGGGGCACCACACGGCACATCCCCAGGGACACTCAATCCATCTGCATTTACAAGCAAGGCATGGATGACACTCCATAAAAGCATGAAGTGCTGCAAGGCAGGAACAGTCTGGCTGCCGTGGGCAGACACCCACGTGTGGCAGGCAGGGACTTGCCACACACACACACACATGCATGTGCCCAAACTCCAGGGACCATATGCAGGGCCAGGGTACAGGCAAGAGAGGCCTCCAGGTGCAGGCAGGGGCCTGGCAGCTCCCACACAGCTCTGGGACTGTGCTGGGGCTGTCCTCGAGGGCAGAGTGGGGTTTGCCACCTCTGCTCCAGCTCCTTGCTGCCAGGGCCAGTTGTTCCCTCCCTGCCCTGGCTGTCGGCGCCTGGCACCTTGCCTTGTCTTTAAGGGCCCTGTTCAAAGTACAAAGAGTGTTTCTGCAGTGCTTGAACAAGAGATGCTTCTGTGACAGCGAGAGCTGGTTTAAAAGCCACTGGGATGGGGGGGAGAAGTGGGCAAAACTGCTGACGCCTCTGCCAGATGCACTGGCAGCCCCTGGTATGCAATGCCTGTGCCCTGCCTGGCACGGGGCACTGCCTTGTGTCTGCCTGCAGAGAGTGTGGAAAATCAGAGCTGATTCATGACTGTTTTCTTCTCAGGAAACATGCTCTGCTCTAACTGATACCGAGCAGGATGGAGCAGCTCCCAAAGCATCACAGATAGTGGTTGATTCCTGGCAGGAGGCCTTGAGGGAGAAAGATGTGGCACGGCCCACACCAGCACAGTGCACAGCTTGGCTGGATCCAGATCCCAGCCAGGGGAAGGAATTCTGCCAGGCTTTCCACCTGCCTGTGGAGGAGGTGAAGAGCAAAGGCAAAGCAGAGGTGGCTTGGCAGAGTAAAAGCAAGATGGCACAAGCAGCAGCACATGAAGGCCGGCTCTGTCCCTGCTCTCTGCTGCCTGCCCAGCCAGTGCCAACCTCCACAGCCAGATTGCAACAAGCCAGGTGCCCACTTTGGAAGCTGCAGCCCCGGGCCCCTGCAGTGGGAGCAGGGAGAGGGGCTGGTAGGACAGCCCAAGCCTCTGCTGGGGAGGGTCCAGTTAATAAGCAGGGCGAATGTCCCCTCCTGGCATACGCCCACTGCTGTGCTGGAGGAGAGCTGGGTTTGGCACAGCAAGCAAACACAAGTGAGAGGGCATTGGACCTCCACCTGCCTGACAGGGGTACGTCACCCTGCCAGCTGTCATCCCTGCCCTCTGCAATTTGGCTGCCTCCCCTGCCTGTGGCATGGCACTGGCTCCTATATGACATGGGAAGTAGAAGGCACTTTTCTGCACCCCTCTGGATGCTTCCAAGGTGTCCAGGCAGAAGGATTTCCATCAAGGACTGTTGGACAAGCTCAGTGTCCTCTGCCCAGGCAAAACCCTTGCACAGAGGAAGGGCTGTGGTGGAGGCAGGTGGAAAGCCCTGACCTGAGACACCCCCCCAGCTCTGGAGGGATGTCCTGCAGCTCAGGGCATGCCAGCATTGATCCCCGCAGCAGCATCCCCAGAGCACGCAGCTGCTTTGGGGGGTTTTCCCCAGGCTGCAGAAACCTTCTTCTCTCTGCTCACCCCCCTGGCCTGAGGCATCGGAGGGGTAAAGGAACTGTGCAAAATTAAAACGCAGCATTTCTGGGCAGCGTTGGAGCAGCTGGAGAGCGAAGGAGCGGCTTTCGTTTCCCCAGCCCTTCCTCCCGGGCAACTGCCCGCGTTTGAGCTGTGACTGCCACCTCAGTGGGTCCCATCCCAGCATCCCTGTCCGTAACGAACGGGCTCCCAGCATCCCTGTCCGTAACGGGGGGGGCTCTGAGCATCCCTGTTTGTAACCACGGGGCTCCGAGCACGCCTGTCTGTAACCAGGGGGCTCCCAGCATCCCTGTTTGTAACCAGAGGGCTTCCAGCATCCCTGTCTGTAACGAAGGGGCTCCCAGCATCCCTGTCTGTAACCAGGGGGCTCCGGGCATCCCAGTCCGTATCGCGGACACGGCCGCCC